CTGTAAAAGCTGCTGGTCATGATATCGGTTTGTATATCTGGTGAGAGGGAAACATGAAGATGAAACCAGGAGATGTCCTTACTGAATCATCAGAGCTGAACAGGTGATGGAGAAACAGGTTTACCTTTTAGGTGACATGAATGAGTTGAAGGGAAGTTATGAACTGTTTCTGAGAGACAAATAACACCAAGATCCTTTTCTACGTAGCTGACAGCTGGTAACTGTGCAGGGGCGGGTAGGGCATTAACAGGGAAAGGGGGGCACTAAGAAATACTTTCTTATTCTCATTTAAAATGTCTGGCTGTTATTAAATAATTATCTGAAGCTTACAACCAAAGTTTTTATCAGACATAAAATGTATAGCAATCATACATATACCAACAAGATTGTACATCACTGTCACAACAGCATTTGTTTTCATTTAATGGCTTTAATACCTGGGGGGCCGGTCTCTAGTCTAAATGCCCGGGCCGATTTTTTGTCTCAGTCCAGGCCTGGGCACGACACGCAGTGAATTAATCTGAGAAGGTGCATTAAAAATATAAATGGCCGCGCCAGCGATGCACATCGCAAATCAGCTCGCATAGACACATTAGTTGTACCTCTTCTTAATGACAGTATCTTAGCTAACAAACCCAACTACTAGATTCAACTTGTAATTGGCTAAAAATAACTTGGGACGTTGTTAGCTTTCCGCTAAGCACAGCATCAGCATTAACTGGCTGAGTTAATGCCAGTTAATGCAACATTAAGGCAGCTGGAATCCACAGCTGTGCGTGTTCATGGAGCTTGCATTTTCACCTGCTGGACATCACTACCTGACAAGTTTAACTGTCTTCAGAACATTGCAGAGGCCTTATTGACAGTATTTGGCTCTACATGTCTGTGTGAGCAGATTTTTTCTCACATGAGTGTCCTCAGGTAGCCGTCTGAATGCTGGACACTCGGAGACCTGTGTCTCTGAGTGGGAGACCAGATATCAGATTAACATGTGTGTCTCTGTATTAACAGACATGCCATATTGGCTTAGTTTATTTTTCTTATCATTGTTGTGAGGAGACCATAAATAGCATTTGTATTTTCTGTTGTACAGTTCATTTGCTGTTATGGAGTTCTTGTTATGGATTTGTTTCAAATAGCTGATAACTATTCGCTGATAGCTGCCAACATCTGCAAACAAATCTAATTCTATAAAGTGGTTCTTTATATTGTGTGTGACTTCTGAGGAAATTTTAAATGGCCATCAGAAAGGTTGCCTACCCCTGCACTAAACACATGGAACCACTAACAGAAAAATAAAACAAGAAGTCACTAACACAGAGACGAGGACTGAACACAAGAGAAGACAGAGGAGACAGGAAGGAAAGAGAGACTAACAAACCTGAAGAGTAGAGGTGCAAATAATAAAACAACAGGAAAACATATGATCAATCAAAGTGGTAATGAAATTCATGAACACAAGGAAACACAAAAAACTATTTTAAAAAAACCCCGACAAATATAATCCACTTTCAAAACTAAAAGAAATTATAAACCAACCAAAACTCCAAACTCTGTGTCATTGGCCCACACTGCTGTTGTGCCAGTACATTAAGTACCATAGATTAGCAGAGCTTTATTTGGATATCTACACATGCTCAATTTAGTATTTCTGAAAGCCTTTTGATGACAATTATAAATGTTGAGAAGGTCAGAACTGTGGTAAAACTTGTGTGCCCCAATGTGGGTACATGTGGTTAAAGGATCATTACTGTGGTACCAGCCTGTACTACAACTGAAGGTTCTGGGAAACTTTCAGTTGTACCACTTTACAGCAACTTTACCAAGCACCTAGACTGGATTGGTACGTATATAGTGCTTTTGTTACTCTAATTGAACACTGAGAGTTCTTTTTACCTTATCATCTACACATTCATAGAGTGCTTCAATTCTATGCCTAAGCATCTTGTTTAACATGTATAGACTAGCATAAATGCATCAGGGGCTATTCGGGGTATATTATCAGTTTGCAATATGAAAACTGGAAGAGACAGGATCAAAACACCAACCGTATGATTAACAGACAACCCACTGTACTTCTTGAGTCACACTCACCACAAACATATATTGGAACTTGTTGAAATTGCACTAAATGCAAACCTTTACATAGCTTCTTTACATCAAAAATGAGTTATTATGCAATTGTTTTATTTCTCTACGCAGTAATTTGAGATATACTAAGAGAAGTACTAAAATAAAGCATAAATTCTATGATAAAAGCAGCACAAAGGAGCAGCAATGATATTAATAATCACATACAATAAAGCAACATTTTTTCTTTAGAGGTATAAGAGCTCAGTTACCTGTAGAGAGCACAAGGAGAGTGATGAACAGAACCATCATAGATATTTTTACTGATGGTTCTCAGTTTTCAAATACGCAAGTTGATCAATGTGTATATATACTTTGGTACAGATATTGCTAAGTGGAGGAACATCTGCAAGCAGTAGGGATGATAGGCAACTATAGCTTCTGATCTGTGTGGATGCGGCATCATCTTCCTTCCTTCCTGTGTTTTTAGTACCACAAACAACTTACTAGAGCTTTCTGAGAAACAACCTCTTGCACAAAATCCACAAACACCCAAATGTGTCTATGCAAGGGTCTCATGTTTTTTACATGAGTTTTTTTTTTCCTGTGTTTTTGAGACTAAAATCAAATCATCAGTGGGATTTGATTTTCCTGGAAAATTTTAATAAATTGAATAAAATGAACAGTAAATTTTGGGGCGATAAATTGTTCAAAAATTTAGCAAACCAAAGGAAAATAAAAGCACCCAGTATTTGTTGTAACGGTTATTATTTTATGATAAAGTCCTATGGCCAGCCACTTTATTAAGTAAATCCTGGTCACTTAATTTGGCGCACCTGTGTGCATTCACCTGTGGCCACTCTATTAGGTACACCTACGGTCTTATAAAGTAGCCACTTTGCCACTCATGGCAACAGTTTGTGTGGTTAATAAAATGGCCCACCATATGCTTATGGATAAATCAAACAAGCAAACACAAACTATCATATAAAACATTAGGGTTATTCTGTCTCCTTCTACCAAAACAACAAGAGTCAAATGAAGCCAGGCCAACAGTATTTGTATAATACTATTCAAACATGGCAAGAGTGTTTTACAGAGGGGTTGAAAGAGACACTAAACATATGTGAACATGTCATGATATAAAGCAAACACATACAATCATGATAAAAATGAATCTTGATAATATACGAACTGTAATAAAGTGAACAATAAGAGTTTTTCCAATGTTTACAGACGTCCAGTTTATTCTGGTGTACTTATGTCTGTGCTGTGCGGTATGCAGTTTTTACTGGCCTGCATTTCTTAGTTAACAGGATGCAGATGTATTTAGTGCCAGAAAATCTCAAAGTCCACCTCTGCTTCCGCCCCCTTCTCTGATTGGCTAATAGACATGGCAAAAGTTAGGGGAGGAAGAAATCTCTGTCCTGCTGTAATTTTGGTGGAATGATTTTTTCTTCCTGTCTTTCTCTCCTTGTTTTGCAGACACCAGTAAGACAGTAAGATGGCCTCGGCACATGACAGAGCTGTACTGCAGGCTATATTCAACCCCACCACCCCCTTTGGAGACATTCCCGGCCTAAACCAAGAGGAGGAATTAATTGATGATGGTGAGCATGAGCTTCTGACTGGTGTGTCTCAACATATCATGTCACAGTATATTGAATTTATTTGAACACATTCCATTTCTGGGCTGCGAAAAACATGACATTGTAATCCAAACTGATTTCCGAGTGACATTTCTCTGTTTTCCTTTCCACGGTACCTGTCAATTGAGTTTGAGTCCTTTTTCAACCTGTTTATCTCCTCCTGCCAGACAGTGGCTTTGACAGAGAGTTGCTGAAGCAAGTGAAAGAGCTGGAGATGCGGGGTGTCTCAGCAGCAGAGACTGGGGATTTACAAACTGCGCTTCAGCTGTTCAGCCAGGCAATCCAGATTCTTCCTCAGCGAGCCTCTGCCTATAACAACCGGGCACAGGCCCTGCGACTGAAGGGGGACACAGCAAGTATGTGCAACAAATTCAATAATAACCCTTTCCAGAGATGCCATGGTGTGCCAACTTATCAGACTGCCGAGTCTAAGGCCAGCGTGAATACCGGAGCTTTGTCTAGCTGATGCACTTTGTCAACAGCGATGGTGCTCTGAGATAGTGTGGTGTTTGGTTGCTTTTACCTGCTGCCTGACATAAGAAGGGCAGGTCTGTAGGCAAAAACAACAGTCCTTGACTCACTAATGACTAGCATGCCACTAGCAACTGCAGATTTCTAAAAGAACGTCTATTCATCTGAAAGTCATTGTTATGTGTTGTTGAACCAGTAGAACAAGGATATTACTAATACATATAAAGCTTTTGAATGGATAATGCTCGGTTATGAGCAGTTTACTTGAGAATGACTTTTTGTTTTTTCCTCATTATTTGATTTCCACAGTACTTGAGAGAAAAGTAGTTCAAGCACATTTCAGCTGTGTTTATCAGAATGAATTTTTCAGTAGCCTGACCCAAAGCCAAAGCTGAGTATCTTAGAACATCATGGCCTAAAAAAAAAAATCAACTTTCCAGACATGTGTTTGGTTCACGGTGCTGTTCTCTTTGCAGGAGCCCTGGGGGATCTGGACCAAGCGATTGCTCTGAGCGGCAGCACTGGGCGTACTGCCTGCCAGGCGCTGGTGCAACGAGGCCTTTTACATAGACTAGCACGCCAGAATGATGAAGCCAGAGCAGATTTTGAAAAAGCAGCTGCACTTGGAAGTGAATTTGCTCGACAACAAGCTGTGGTCCTTAATCCATATGCTGCCCTGTGTAACAAAATGCTGTCAGAGGTGATCAACAAAATGCGCAACCCTGAAACATCTGACATGCAGTGATGTAAAACATTAGGTGTTCGTCTTCTCTGAAAGTCTGAAATCAATAAATTAACCTTTTTATGATGTTCTTTAAATTCTGTTCATTGTGCTGCTTTAAAAAAAGTCACGAATCCAGCTAAAAATCACATTTATTCACATATGCAGATCACACTTATTTCAAACTGAGTTGTTCTCATCACAAAGCAAGCACTGCTGTATTTTATTAAATATGACACATGCAGCATGTGATGTAATCTCCAGCATTAAAATGCCAAACCACACCATTTGATACAGATGGGATACTTAAGTTTTTATCCACTAGATGTCAGTCTTGTCATACTGAAACAGTCATCAGCGTTTCCCCTTCCTTGATTTTTCTTTCAAACATTGCCTTTCACCATAAGAATGAAATATGCTGGAACAAACAGCACTTGTCATCTCAGTCATGCCAAATGGTTCATCTAATATCATGAGGATGTTCCCCAGGCAAAACATGCCCAAATGCGAAAATTCGAAATGCAAAAAAGACTTTTAGCATTCACGTTTCTCTCCACACTACACTGCATGACAAGATCCATCTCAGAGAATTTTGCACACCAACGAGAAAAATGATCTGAGTAAATGCTTTAAAAAAAAAAAGGATGATTACATCACCAAGATATCCTGTTACACTAAATTATTCTTATTTCTAATATACAACAGATTGTCTTTCTGCAGGGCTTTAACACACTGCAGCTCTGATTTTATACAGCAGCTCTACATGCGGAGGCTTTTTCCACTTTTCAGATGAGTGCATACATGTTACGTCTCAGTGATTTCAAACAAGGCATAACTCGTGTTGTGGTCTGCCCGCTGTGCTCTGAAACGTGAGCGTTATCTTTTATGCTTTAGTTTCCCATGTTTGTCTCTGACCTCTCCCAGGCAGGGTAAAGCCACCGGCTCAGTGCGATCTTCTCTCTGGTAGAAGGAGCAGGTTCCCAGGTGATTTGACATGGAAGGAGTATCGCTGAAGCTCCATCTGTCCACAGAGGAAAACTGAGAGCTGAATTTCCAAACCTGTAAAACACAGAGGCAGAATTGAAGGAGGTGTGGGAGGCTGTCATGGCATCTATCAACTGTTTTGCAGCTACAGTATACTGCGATGAGGAGGAATCTATTTTTAAATACCATGGAATCTAGATCGCATAATACTTTTATCACATGTTAGGGCATGGTGTTATTTCTGTTTTGATCCGTGACAAATGTATACAAATTATGCAATTCATCTGAGAGCAAATACCCAGCTGTTGCCTACACAGTCTTATTAACATCCTATGTTTCCATGAATGATCACATATCTGACTTGTTATGGTAGCACTCTGTTTACTGGCAGCAAAGTCTCAGGCCATTCCACATCACTGATGTCATCGGCATGCTCTTTGTCTCATGATCACTGCAGTACAGAGATAGTCAATGCAAAAATATACACACGTGCATTGATAGTGTTTTTTGCTTCATTACCTCCAGCAGGGGGGCTTTGATCACACGTTTGTTAGCAGGAAAACTACTTTGTGTAGCTAAAAAATTATGAAAGCAAGTACAACCAAATTGCAACTGAAAAATAGATGTCTTATCTATCCCACCTTCATTTTCGCTGCTCACCAACAACAAGTAATTTTTTTTTACCAGCATATTTAATTTGATCTTCAAAAAATCTGGAACATTATAGTTGTGTTCTCAGTCAAAAGATTTTAATTATTTCATTTTGTTATAACTCCCTAGCTGCCAAATTCAGGTATTTCTGTAAACTACCAAAATTCTTTAATAATAATGATAAGCAGGCATCTACAGAGCCTGAAAAAGTTCTGCACAGCTCAACGTTTGTCCTGAAGAGATGGTACTTTAATGAAACATGCATTTAAATTTCCACAGCTCAGTATTCATAAATCTGAACCACTTAAAATGTGAACCCTTTACTCAGTTCTAATAATTCCAGAGAGGATTTAGTTAATTTCCGGCTCCAGGACCAACAGGCATCCTTGTGGGGTAGTGGCCTGAGCCACCAAGCTAGCTAACTGTGTGACTTTAACCAGGGTTCAATTCTAGTTGTCGTAGGTGAACCTCTAATAATGCCCAATTACAATCGCCTTATTTTTCTTTATATGCTATGTAGTGCTTTTTTTTTTTTTTTTGTTTCTTCTGTTGCTGTTAATTAGCAAACCATTGCTTGGGCACCAACGTCAGGAAAGAAAACTAAATTTCATTTCCTTGTGGTTCCTGACCTTAGAAGAAGCTGATATTTTGCAAGGACACAGACAAAGGCAGTAAATCTCCAGGGTCTGATTCAGTGGGAACTCAATAACTGTTGCCAACACAACTGCGGCTCAGTTTGTAATATTGTTAGAGAGGACTATTGAGAGTCAGGAGTGTTTATAGTGCAGCTGCTGTCATACTGTATGAATGACTCAGATTTTCCAGTGAAAGTTAATAGAATGATGCCAGGTACTAAAGGGAAACTGATAGAGAAGTTTGACATGATGTAAATAAATAGAAATGGTAAAACAATATGGTGCACACACTTATCTGTGAATGCAATCAAATTTACAGGTCAGGGAATATAAAGTGACTATAACAAAAAAAAAAAAAAAAAAAACACATTTGCAAAAGAAAACCAATATATCTAGATTAAATAAGATTACTTGCTTTCTTTTGGCAAATCCAGGAACTTCCTTCACTGGAGTGTTTCTTTTTCTCCCACTTGAGGGAGACCATCCCTCTCTCCTGCAGCAATGTGGCACACACCTCTCTCAATAGATGGGAGACTTGGGACAACTGAGACAATGTAAAACTGTCAAGGTAACCAGCAATATGCTGAATGATCTCCAAAGGAAGGCTGCTTAGGGGATCCAGATTTTGTGCATCATTCCTTTTAGGACTGAAGGTTTTCCCACCTGCACAGAGTGATGAATTGGCTTTTGGTTGGAGTACCAGAGTGCTGCCATCTTTGGAGAACTTAACTATTGCTTCCTGACCTGTTGGGTGAAACCTCATCTGGGTGAAAGTACAACCAAGGTATGCTAAAGGGCAACGCTGCTGAAACCAGCCATTTAGAGAGGCTTGTATGTCAGAATGCACGTTCTTGAAGTGAAAGCAGTATTCATCACGGCGAAAGTAGTGGCCACACATGTAGCTGAAGGCTGAACTTGTTTTGTTGTGTCTTCTAGTGACAGATTCTGCTTCGATGTATAAATAAAGACGACAAGGTTTACCTGCTATGACATCAGCTAAGGAAGCATCTTGCTTGAAGGGTGCAGAAGAAAAGATGTACGTTTGTGTTCCTATATCTGTGTAAAGACCATCTGTCGACACACTCTCTGAGATCGAATGTCCCTTCAGTTCTTTTTCCAGGGAGCACAGAAGTGTTGTGCTAACCTCTTCACACTTTGGAAGATCCTCAATTGAAATGCCCAGATCTGAAGTGTCAACACTCTGGTGTGTGGTTTGGGCCTTGCGCGAGGGGTCTTTCAAGTGATTGCGCTTTGCTCGATAGCTGGTAGGCACATTAAATGTTCGGACGCTTTTCACCTCAATGGGCTCCAGACTCCCATAGACAAAATCCTTTTCTCTTGGTGTGCAAGCAGCAAGTTGCCCAAAGTTAATCAGCATTACCCCATTGTGCACCAGATACATATTATATTCTGCAATGTTGACTTCTTTGCCTAAACGCTCAAGGACCCCATCTTGCCATGGTGCAAGGCCAGTGGCACCGTCCATGGTTCTGGCAGTTACAGGACATTCTCCACCCTGGTGTAATTCTTTCTGACTCTTTGATGATTCTTGGTCTTCCTTTTCTTTTCCTTTTTCTCCCTTATTCAGGTTTTTGATGGTTTGCTTGCATCCCTCCTTCTCCTTATTGAATATTTTCTCCCAGGAGCTATAATTTTGAATACTTGTCACATCTGTGCACTTTGCCAAAGTATCTCTCTCCTCTTGACTCAGTTCTTCGTCCAACTTTGCACTGCCATTTTCTGTATATTCACCACTGTCTACAGAACAGCAAGCATTATCTGCAGGACTGTTGATTCCAGCAGCAATGTTTTGCACGGCAGAATCCTCCAATATCAACTCGGGAAAAATGTTCTTCATTTTGATTGATTGAAACAGCTGCTCTTGGTCCCTATGAGCCATAGCAACATCAAGATTTTCCTCAGTGTTTACCACAGGGTTTTCAGAAACATTTCTATAAAAGGTCAGGTCACTTTCTGAAATAGGCCAGCGGTTCCACTCCTGAGAGCAACAGACCAAGCTGGCAGGACAGACCTCTAAGTGTTTGGCCAGCCTGTGGCGCAGCATGGTGAGAGGACAGCCATAATAAACATTAAGGCAAGGCACTATCTCATTTGGACAGAGAAGCTGGTGCTCTTCTTGCTTGCACATGTGGAGGCTTGCACCACAGTTTTTGTGACATTTCACGACTATACATGAAACAGAGGTCTGCGCAGGGACTTGACAGTGGACATTGTAACACTTGTCACAATGCTTATGATAGCCCACTGGCATCTTCATGCTTTTTACCTAATGAGAGAGATAACCCAGCACAGAAGGTAGTAACAGTAGTAAAATTTTCAAGTAGAGTAAGACTTAAACATTTCTGATAGTTTTAAAAAGTGAAAATTACTTTACATACCATTTTGGCTTAAGAACACAGCAGCGTGATCATCTAAGAACAAGTCAAACCAGAAACATGTTTACAGTCACATGCTGACCAAAAAACTGAAATTCACAGCTGATAAGTTGAATTATATGTTCAGGTTAAAAAGAAAAAAAATATGAAAACCACAAATCTCAAAGTTTTTCTTTGAAAAAAGCAATAAGAGTGGAGACAATAAGAGAAATATTTCTCACCCTTTGTTCCTTTGTTCACTGGCACCTCTGAATAACCTCTGCACTGTGTCTGGATAATATAAATAGACACAACAAAGGGGCAGACAGGCCAGTGGGACGGGGCACCATTGTCGCACAGCCATTAAGAGCCAAGGTCAAGTTACAGTCTCTACCACTGCTTCACACTGAGAGGGTGGCAATCAAAGCAGGTCCTCACATTCTTAAAAAAAAAGTTACCCTGTGCTTAAAAACATAAACATTTCAACTTGTTTGATTTACTGAGTTTCCAACATTATAATGTTAAAACTTTATAATTCTATTCCCACTGATTGAACTTATTTGTTTTGATTTCCTTTCAAAATAACATATTCCATAACTGAATGAATAAATTACTTAATAAATATTTTTTTTATTTGATTTTATAGATCGGTGGCATCTAAAATACCAAATCAGTTTTTAGATTAATTAAAGTTTTTTTTTCAGTGATTATTTAATTCATCAAAATTTGAACAATGCAGTGTGTTGGGTTAGGTTAGGCTCATGTCATGTCTTCCACTAGGTGTCACTCATACACTTTCAGAAACTCTACCAATGTTTCGCCAGCCAATTCTTACTACATATTAGTTACATTTACAAAGAGAAGAGAACATACTGTGTAGAGTTTCCTGCCCCATCTCATCAGGAGGAGATAAAACAGGAAGCCAAGGCCGTCACTTAGGCACCGTAAGATAGAAAGAATATGGTTTAGGCTTTATGGCCCTGGGAAGAAGCTATAAGAGTAACTGTTAGATACTTCGAGATGTTGCCAGACACCCTCCTGTGCACATTTCCTGTCCGGACATTTGTAATGCTCAAAGTGTTGTATGGAATAATGAGAATCGTATGGAATAAAGAGATTGTTGATTGAGCATTTATACACCGAGTGTTGCTCTTCCTTCAGCCCAAAGATCAAAGAATTGGGGTATTTAACACTATACAAATTTTATTGATGTTTTTCGAGGCTTTTTGAACTGGAAACTGATGCAGTTGTGGGAAACATGGTTCTGTCGGGAATTATCTTCATCAAACAAAGCACTGGTTTAATAAATCAAGACTAATCCACTCTAAAAGTCTAGTAAGCAGTAGATCCAAATAGTGCATATTTAAAAATGTTTACATTGTTTCTCCCCCATTCTCTTTCAGAAATACTGTGCTATGGTACAAATTGGGAGACATTAAACTTGTTAACTAACTCTAACTAATTACACTCATTCAAAATGAGACTGGTGGAACTACCCTTTTTTATTTAACAGCACCATCCTATAAACATCTACTGACACCTGTTTTCCACCCTATGTTAAATGTGCTGTAGACTGAATTTCACAACTGGCATCTGGAAGTTTGGAGGTTTATTTTTTCTTTTCACCTGGCACAGATTACAATGCAGAGCTTATCAGAGGCAGCTGGTTCACTCTCTATAGGCTCTGCAATCAGCATACATTACATCGAGCAAGAGACAGAAAGAAAAAGAGAGAAAGAAAGCCTACTTTAAGTAAAATTACTTTTTGCAACAGAACAGCAGCACAGCTGAGACTGGAGTTAGATTAGTTGATTAATGTCTGAAAATTGCTTCCAGTTGAGTTCAGAAATGATTTATCAGCTTTGTAAAATTGCTTCAAAATTTACTAAAACTCTTTTAAATAAAATTCAATCAAATTAAAACTTTGATCGTTGCATTGTTCCCCAGCATTTAGAGTAAGAAAATGCTTTTTATTTTGTCTCTGCACATTGCTGGTGATGTGATTTTCTGTGCTGCACCGTGGAACGACCAGAAACTGTAATTCGAAGGTTAAAAAAATAATTTGCATCATCCAGTCTGTGTTTTCAGTCACATCTGTGTTTTTAAAAACAAGCACCAGGTTTAGATTTTTTGATTTCTGGCATAAAGTTGGTGGAAAAAATAATAAATCAACACCTTCCTCATAAGTGTTTATTTAATATATGCCTGAAGCCAGCAGCTGGTTATGGTAATTTAGCATAAAGACTGAAATAGAAAGACTGGCTCTGTCACAATATCTAGCTATTGGCACCTGCAATTTTCAATAATTGCCACACTCTCTTCACTATCTTGTTCTTAGTTGAATAAGACAGTATAAATGTAGCTTTCATTGCATTTTCAAATGAGAGGTACAGTGCTGTAAAAAGTGTTTTTCCCTTCTTGATTTTGTAGGTTTTTTTGCACAGATTTTCACACATGTGTAAGATAAATGAATTTTAATTTTAGACAAAGATAACCTGAGTAAATGACAGTGATTTCATATATTAACTGAAAGACACCCAAACCTACCTGGACCCAGGTGAAAAAGTAATTGCCCTTAAATCTAATAACTAGTTGGGCATCCAGACTTTGACTAGACCACTAATTAACACTTTTTCAAGGCATTGTAGTGTTTTTGTTTGTTTGTTTCATTTTTTGTTTTGTTTGTTAGTTTTTAAAGTTTTTATGTGACCAATGAGAAAATTAAAAACAACATCCCAATCATGTTTTCAAAAAATGTAATTTTCATACTCAAACTATTCAGTGTCTCTTCTTTACTAATGGATGTGGTCATTGTCAAAGATTTCCAATGACGCAGCTGGAAGGCAGCTGTAGAATGGGCCCAGTCAACATAATTATCAAATTTGCATTACATGGCATGCATATGTATTCACTACGTTTAATATTGGAAGTATTTTAAAAATGTCACTATATGTTTAAGTCATGGTTCTACCTTGTGAACCAAAGCCTAATTTATGCAGTTAAGTTTTTCTTATGAACTGAATTTTAGCTCCACATGCTAAGTCAATTTGAACTGTGCTGATTAAAAGTTTTCTGAAAAGTTTTGATAGTGTTTGGCATACCAGGTAAGTGTATTACTTGTACTTCCTAACTGTGCTGTCATTTATGGAAAATGAGCACAAACCGCACAAACTATGTCACAGTTGGATGTTTGACATGCAGCACAGCACTATAAATTTAGTTAACCAAGCCAAGCAAAAAACAAAACAAAACATGGTGCTTCAAAGTAGAAGAAGGAGAGAAGACAAAACGATGAGAATATTCCCAGGTCTTTGGACCTCAACAGCATTGTCAATACTTTGTTCAGTAAGAAATGTTGAAAAATATACACTAATGTGTGTGTGTGTGTGTGTGTGTGTGTGTGTGTGTGTCTGTCTGTCTGTCTGTCTGTCTGTGTGTGTGTGTGTCTCTGTCTGTGTGTGATTACATTAAGATAAGATGGGTCCTAAATATTCAGGTCCCATCTTATCTTAATGACCTTGTAGTATCACCCCATTGGAGCTCTTCGCTCTCGCACTGCAGGCTTACTTGTTGTTCCTAGAGTATTGAAATGTAGAACGGGAGGGAGAGCCATCAGTTTTCAGCCCCCTCTTCTATGGAACCAGCTTCCAGTTTGGATTTGGGAGACAGACACTATCTCTACTTTTAAGATTAGGCTTAAAACATTACTTTTTGCTATAAGCATATAGTTAGGGCTGGATCAGGTGACCCTGAATCCTCCCTTAGTTATGCTGTAATAGGCGTAGGCTGCCGGGGGATTCCCATGATGCACTGAGTTTTCCTTTCCAGTCACCTTTCTCACTCACTATGTGTTAATAGACCTCTGTGCATTGAATCATACATGTTATTAATCTCTGTCTCTCTTCCACAGCATGTCTTTCATCCCGTCCTCCTTCTCTCTCTCCAAACGGTTGCAGCAGATGGCCCCGCCCCTCCCTGAGCCTGGTTCTGCCAGAGGTTTCTTCCTGTTAAAAGGGAGTTTTTCCTTCCCACTGTCGCCAAAGTGCTTGCTCATAGGGGGTCATATGATTGTTGCATTTTTCTCTGTATGAATTATTTTTGGGTCTACCTTACAATATAAAGTGCCATGAGGCCACTGTTGTTGTGATTTTCGGCGCTATATAAATAAAATTGAATTGAATTGAATTGAACGTTTAGACATCTTTGTGAGGACAGAAAATTGGCACATCACTATACTTGAATTTGAAGGCATTTTTGAGGCTCAATATCTGGTTTTAGTGTCAGGGTTACAATTAGGTTATGGTTAGGTTTAGGCTAAGGGATAGGGCTGGGCTCTCATTTTCGATGGTGTACAGCAAGCAGCGTGGGAAAGCATTATGTCAATTAGATGTCTGATTAAGATATGAAAACAAGTGTGTGTGTTTGAGTGATATATCTAGAAGCTAGTTCTCTGGAAATAATTGTTGAATAAGTAATTTTGTAAATGAGTGTGCTTGTTTGGCACGGTGACCCATCCAGTCTGTCTGTGAGGATCTGTTGTTAATGGGAGTCTCTCTTCTGTTCCATGCTTATAGGCTTTACAGTTGTCTTCATATTACTTTAGTTACACTAAATCTGTTTTGGGCTTGTGGTAGACAAGTTGAACCATGTTTATAGCATAAGCTTTAATAAATGTGTCCATTACCCAACTCCTGTATGTTGTCCATCATGCAGATGAAAAGCTGTACTGATGATACTGATATTGCTTTGTGATCTTATTTTTGCACTCACACAATGTGTATGAAAGAGAGATCGAGCAAGTAAGTGAGTTAGTAAGTAAGAGAGAGGGGGTGAGAAGATGATAAGAGTGGCTGCCCAACACTCCCACTAGATCGCCTCAACGTAGAGATCAGGGATTCAGGAATGTCTAAGGATTTCCTCTGTTCAGTTGAAATATAGATGCCACTCAATAATATGCAATTTTGTGATAAATATTTTTCTTATTAACTAAAAGTTTCACTAAAAGTTTTCAAAGCAACAAAATGTTTAACAGAACACTGAACTCCCATTTAATGAAACTCAACTGAATACTCAGCTTGAGCTCTTATGCAACCGGGCAGCTCAAGAAGAAGATAACTGCCGCTTGTTCATTTTCTGTGGCATGGATTTGAACAATTCTGAGGCTGTGAGGTTAATGATTCATGGAAGCTCCATGTCATTTAACTCTAATTTAATGTTCTGAAATGTGACTGGACAGGTTTAAATGTTGAAAGAAAAAAAAGTCAAACTTGATTAATATT